AGCCTCTGAGTCCTTACTGTTATGCTTGGTCCGAGTGCAAGGGTAACCCGGCTTGGTTAAATTTTGCAGACTTTGTGATGCCTTTCCCTCATGGGAGGAAAGGCAAGACTAGGATGTACGAGAGCCCTATTCAGTGCTCAGGAGTCTCCCTAAATCACTGACCCATGTGTTTTGGGTCCCATTTTGATCAGGGTGCTGTGGTGATGGAGCAGCCAAGCTTCAGTTACCTTGTTCTGCTCCTGAATGGGTTTGGCCATTCTGTTTAAAACCACAGAGCGGCTTCAGTTTAAAATGGTGGAGAGGCTACATTGGCTTTTGGCTTCAGATGTACATTTTTGCATAAGGAGAGAGTGCTTTGGAGCTGAAGGGCCTAAGCACTGAGCAACCTTAAAAATCCAACGGGTGGGGAAATGTCCTGTGGGGATGGACAAGCCCTCTTCTCCTCTTATTCCACAGCACCTTAAGCCTGCCAAGGAAGCTGTTCTTCCTGACAAAAGCTTGCCAACAGGAAAGGGAGAGATTGCCAGAGCTTCCTGTACACTGGAATTGGCAATGTCTCCCCTCAGTGGACTTGCTCTTTGCCAGGGTGGGGAACCTCAGCTGCTTCCCATCATACCTTCTGCAGGGGCATCCAAACTGGCCTTGGAAGGGGAAGCTGTGTCAGCTGAGGGCTGTGCCCCTGTCTCTTAGCCCAGGGGCTGCGTCGTGCTCTGCACCAGGCTTCTAGTTCCAGCTCTGCAGCCCCGTGTTTCTAAACAGTGCTGTCAGGTGGACCTGGAAGGCCCCTCAGGAAGGAACTGGGGTGTCCTGCCTGGCACACGAGGGTTTTGTCTGAGGGAGGTTGGGAAGCTCTGCACATAGAGGTGGTGGCTGTTAGTGAAGTGAGTGCTGATGGGAGAGGTGGAGATGAGTCCTATTCTTCAACCATGTCAAGGTTTCCTGTCCCTCTCATTCCCTCCTCCCTCCTTGGCATGTAATTCCTTTCCTGTTTTATTTTGACTGGTCCTCAGCTATGTATTCCTTCAAGTGAAGTGCTGTAGACCAGTGTGCTGTGATGCAGCACTCCTTATACAAATCCTCAGTAATTCTTATGAAATTCCCAGTTCTACCTTTGCTTTTAAAGAAAAGGCAGCATTGACAGCTTTTTCTTTCATATAACACTTGGAAAGCCATTGGACTTGTTAGGAATTTACAGCTTCTGCCTCAGATCATGTAAGCAAACTGCACTTGAAGTGCTAGGGTATTTTTTGTGATTCCTAATGACTTTGCTTTGGCGCTGTTTGGAATTACAGTGGGTGTTTGCAGTTTGCTGTACCAGCGATGGCTGTAGGTGGATCTGGTAATAATGGTCATTAAGTTTTTCCTCTCAACAGTGCCTCCACAGTCTACGTCTTTCAGCTTGATGCCACTGCCCGCCAGGTGGTTTACAGACAGCAGATTTCTTTGAAACACAAGGTTTGGGACATTGCGTTTGAGGAAACGGGAGATCTGTGGATTTTTCAGGAAGACAGCGAATCTCCTCTTCAGTTGTACAGACTGTGTGACGGACAGTGGAAGGTAGATACTTCTGTTACGTTAACATCCTGAATGTTTTGTGTTGTCTTGAGGCCATAGCAAAAATTAACTATGTTCCTGAAAGCTAAATGGCACACTTCTCTATGTCTTGAGACTGGGTAAAAGTCACAGATACACATCTCACAGAATCACAGAATCGCTCGGTT